AGATGTGTATAAGAGATAGTTATTATTCTTTTGGTACTTAATTTAACTAAACCATTTGAATTAAAATCTTTATTCAAAAATCTTATAGTTATTTAGACAATTTCGGATATGGATTTGGTTATAATAATCTATTATTAAATCAACAATTTCTTCAAAAAAAATTGACATTTTACATATTTTATAATTAATTAATTGATTTTTATGAATTTGAAAATCAAAGTATTTATCCAGCGTTCAATTTAATTGAAAAAATCTTACTCATCTTTCTATCAATGTTGGTCAATTTTCCTATATCTGATATGTTATATTGATTTTTTTTAAAAAAAAAAAATAATTTTGTAAATATATTTAATATAATAAAAAAATTTGGGGGAAGAAAAAGGATAAAGAAAGGAAATCAGTTTAAAAAAAGGGAAATTTCATAAAAAAAGGACGATTAAGGTAAAATTTTATTAACTGAAATTGGATTAGTTGATTGGGAATGCACACGGATCGAATAGTTTTTGACCATAAATAGATCAGACAGAGGTTTGTCACGGGTTTTAATTGGATTTCAAGTTACACATTTCCAAATTATTTACACGAAGACTATAAATCCAAACGTCAGACAAATTTTTTTAGTTATATAGATTTTTTTTTTTAATAATAATTTTTTTTTTTTAAAATAATAATTTACTAGTGAATAAAGCTTTACTATTTGGTTTCCTCTTTTAGATGGTTCTTATTATCTTATAACACAATGAATGAATCGAATGGCAGATCCCTGCTCCCCTGCTAATAAGTCAATTTCTTGTTTTTATTTATTACTATTCTATTCATGCTGTGCTAACAGTGCTAACCATGTTTATTTATGTTGTGTACGGACACAAAAAAAAGTTAGCATCAAACGTGAAAACTGAAAAGTCATATTTAATCACGTGATTATTAATAATATGGACTAATTAAACTTGTACTACTGACGTTACTCAACAGAAAAATGGATCCCTATTTCCCTACCAGGACATTATGGTAGAGTTCCCGTCTGATTTCTTCATTTATATTTATACCTAATATTTTACTTACTGTTATTCATAGCTCAATATCGAGTTTCTTACGATTTACTCCACCAGGCGGTCCTCTTACCTATAGACAAACCTCGCGAGGTGGCTATACTTCTGGTATTATTCCCACACAATCATGTACAGCCAATATGGCTCCTAGACCAGGTTATGGTATACCTTTGGATGGTATATTACCAATGGCAGCTCCAGGTTCAGAAATAGAAAAATTGCCAACTCTTTTCATTGGTGGGATATCATGGAAAAATTCTCAAGGTAGTGATCAATTATTTAATTTTTGGTGGGCAATGAATGCTATATATCGATACTTGTCAACAAATTGACGATGATTTCTAATCGAAGGGATGGAGATTTTACTGAACACTATATTATCAAATGAACCTTGGAGCTTTAAAAGAAGGCGTAAATATTTGGAGATGTGATCAAGAAAAAACTTTTGTATAATTTTCTTACGCATATATATTATTTTGGATGCTAAAATCTTTTTTTCCCAAGCGATCATTTCTTGGTAAATTACTTTTTGATCCTAATTCTTCATCTAAATACCATTTTATCCACGCATATATATTATAGGTTAAAGCCGATGAAATACAAGAAAATATCTTGATCAATATGAGGCTTCAAGGTCAAGAACGGTGGTCTATAGTAAACTATAGAAATAATTTTTTTTTTTTTAGCTATCATATTTGATGTAAATTATTGTCTTTCAGAATTACTATACAAAGTTAGATAAAAGTGCCTTGTTATCAGTTATAATCGTTGTTGAAGACATGACTACTAAGTCACAGGATAGAAGAGTTCTGTCACCTTCAGTATGAAAATAAACTAGCTCTTCGAGCATCACCAGCTACAGAAATAAAAACAGAACATGGAGGAAAGGATGATGACATAGATTTACCGGCTGATTTTCCTCTAGATCAAAAGGACCTTATTTATTGAGAAATAGCATACTTTCGAGAACGTGCTGCAGCAAGAGAACGAGAGCGTCAGAGAGAAGAAGAAGAACGAGCAAATCGTAGAGCTAAAGCTGAAGAAGAAAGAAAACGTTCACATGGAAGGGTAATTAGAGAGAGAGAACGTGAGAGAGAAAGAGAGCGGGATCGTGATAGAGATCGAGATCGGCAATATGTACATTATCATCAACCAGTAAATTTTATTCCTGCAAGAGAATCTAGACGCGAATCTTATATTTAGACGATAAAGAAGAGGAACAACGCAGACAAGCTAAAAGAAAAACTGAAACGGAAATGGCTTTTAAATCGGTATATTAAATTATTTAAAATTTTGTTTTGGATTATATATACTGATTTTAATAATAATTATCTTATATTAGAGAGAAAGACGATGGCAACATCATAGAGAAGAAACAATGGCAACAAATCGTGAACGTGAAGCAGAACGAGATCTAGATGTTAGAGAAAAACAAATTCGAGATTGGGAAATAATGGCGAGAACTGAATGTTAGCGGAATGGGACGATGACATTGAAGCTGGTAGAGGTCAAGAAGAATATCACAAAGACAGAGGTAGTATATATCACATTCATCTTGCAATCAATTTAACGGAGAAATTATGAATTTTAATTTTTTTTATTATTTATGTGGATCTCGTTGGTGGTTCCATCGACAACAGTTCAGAGCACGTGAATTGGCTATAGATGAGGCATATAGGTTGCGAGAACAGCAAGAAATTGAGCTTGAGCAACATCGATTACAGACACTCGAGAAGCTACTATGGAAGCAGGATTAAATAATGAAAAAGAAATTTTAACGCTTGCCACAATTGGTGCTTCACAAAATAATAGCGTTAAACCAAAACTAACCTCTTAATCTTGCATCAAAACGTCGCGCGGCATTAATGGCCCTAGCTGAAGATGAGGAATTTGATGAAGAAGAAGGTATTATTGAATCAAAACGTAAACTCTGAAATATAGTGATAATGAGGACGATAAAAACAAAACCGAAGAAAGGAAAAAGAAAATTAGTTAAAGAATTGGTGGCAACTACACCAACGGGCGGATAAAGGAGGACTTTGGAATTGGAATGTTAAATGGGAGGAATTAGATGAGGTAAGTTTCACATGTGGTTCAAAATTTTCTTCCTTTTTTAAAAAAATCTTTTTTTATTAACATGATAAATAATAATTATTATTTCACAACAGAATATTCTTAACAAAAAGTTACAGCCATTTGTAAGTAAAAAAATTGTTGAATATCTCGTCGTATAAGAAAATGAATTAGTCCATTTTGTTATTGATCATGTACGTAGTAATAAAAAGCCAGCTGAAGACTTAACCAAAGAAATGATGATGGTATGTTGATTACTATTTGCACTAAATATCAAAGAGTAATAACAAGCTAAATCATTGATTTTTTATATCCTTTGATTTATATACAGACTTTAGAAAAATGTTGAATTTCATGCACCAAATATATTATAGTAGATAGTTTAAATTTTTTATTAATAGATGGAGGGTTTGGTTTTATGTATATTTTAAGATATGATGAAACAAAAGGATCAGATCCAAATCTTCAATACTGGAGAGTTTATGTATCTTTCCTAAGAGAAGGTACAGATTCCACAATACCTTATCTGGTTTACCAAACCACTGAAAAATTAAATAATATAACAATTAAATCATGTAGTGTGTTAATTTTTTGTTTTTCATCATATTACTGCATCGCGCACCTACTGTATATAGTAGTTAAATATGGTTTACTGAAGATGTACCACAATTTATAATTAAAGTAAGCAATCCTTAATTATTTTTTTTCGACGAATTTTGTTAATAATATTAATGAATTAATTATTTTGTAGATCATGTATTTACAACGGAATAGTATTATATATATGATCCAATTCCAATTTTTCTTTAGTGTTTCAATAATATTTAATCTTATTGGAAGAACATTTGATACGCTATATTATAAAATACCTTTTTTCTGAAAGACAAAGTATAAAACATACATGAAGAACCTACAAATGCTATTAAATATCTGAGAAAGGATGATGATGATACTATAGAAATTACATAAAGATTTTTTTCTTGCATTATTGTTATGTTTTCTTTCTTTCTTTAAAAACAAGGAAATAGACATTTAAGAGGTTTAAAAAATAAAATTTTGTTAACGGAAAAAATTTTCAACCATTTTTATAAACCTTTTTTGTATGATTTGGGAGTTTTTTTTTGCATCATGATATTTACATTTTTGTTTTTTTTTTGCGCGCGCTTTGAATTATTTCCGAAATAAATTATCTGATGCGATTTGAATTCATAATATTTGAAACACATAAAACTTTAATTAAATTGATCAGGTGATAATCCTTTTATTATATGGGGATCAAATAAATAATGCATTATTACTGTCTCTTATACACATCTAACACATAAAACTTTAATTAAATTGATCAGGTGATAATCCTTTTATTATATGGGGATCAAATAAATAATGCATTATTATTTATCGTTACACAAAATTAAACCTTTAACAAGGACTAAAATTCCTTTATTTTCTTTATTTTCCTTTATTTTCCTTTATTTTCCTTTTTTAGTTTAACCAATTACACATCTGCAAGACAAAATAATTTGTTTAAAAAAATTCGATTTTTTTATTTTATTTTCCTTTTTAAAAGATAAAAAATACTATTAAACAAGCACAACCAATCACTCTTATAAAGAACAAAGCTCGAATAAATTAATTGTTAAATTACGTCTTTATATTCAGTTAAAGGAAAGAAATGTTTGAAAGTTTTTTCTAATTATTTAAAGATAAACTACAAAGAATACCAAATTTATTGTTTGTAAAAATTAATTTCGTTTTTGTTGATCATTCAAGGGAATACAGCCTATTTAATAATATTGAAAAAATAAATATATATATGGCTTTCTCACTTGTTAAGAATTTCCAACTTCAACTAATTCAGAAATCAAATAAAAATTTTTTAAAGAATAATTCTTTTAAATAAGAAATTAAAAATATCTAAATACAAACACAAGAAGATCCAAACGCTATAAAAATGAATTTGCGTCAAATCTTCTTGGCTCTCTTGATTGTACTTATGGCTACTATCGTAACAGCCTCTCCTTTGAATTTAGATCAATTAATTAAGAGGTAAATACAAATACAATATTAATACTTTTTAAAAATCAACGAAAGAAATCTATTAATTTTATTAATTTAATCATTAAAGAAAAAATGCTCAAAAAGACGAAAGTCCATCGAAAGAAAAAGACGGCAAAGTCAAGGTTACTGATTTTGCACCTACAAAGGGCAGAAGTAAAGGTGGAATAGGCGACCCCTAGTTTATTCATCATCATATTTTGTATATTAGAAACTTTTTATCAAGCATTATTCATTCTCATTTATTTAGCATTATTTTAAAGCATGATATCAATAATTGATATAAATTATAGAATATTTATATAGAAAAAAATTTTACATATATCTGATATAGTTAGTCATAAAGTCAAAGTCCTAAATTATTAACCTCATTCCCCTTCAATTTCAATTTTATTCTTTTCAATTTCATTTCTTTTCTTTTAGAAATAAGTTTTTGAAAAACTTCGATATTGTTTTCTAAATTGTACCAATTTCTTTTTTAAAAGAATTAAATAGAAATGTGCTTTACAAAGTATCTTTTATATTCACAAATAAGTGATTTTTTGTCTTCCGCAACTGGATAAGGATTTCGTCAATTCGAAATTTAGTAATACCAAATTTTGTATGTAGTTTTGCGTAAATTTTAAATAATCGGACTAATATCTGCCCAGATTAACACCCGTTCATAGTTGACTCTATGTGGAATTACATCGCTAGTATCTGTTATATAGGTGTATTATCTGAGTGATACGGAAAGGTATTCCCTATCTTCGCATTGTTCCAGCTTTTCATTAACCTAAACAAAATAAAAAATAAACAATCAGACCCTACTCAAGTGATAAAACACTCACCACTCGCTCCTTTTCGTCTTACCCAAGTTAGCTATAGTTAAGAATTAAAAAATAAATTAATTGAGAAATAATTTTCTTTAAAAAAATATTTTGAAACTCATCATTATCATAACTATTTATATTTTTTTCTCATTTGATAGTCCATTGGTGAGTAGGCAGTAATTGTAATTAACATGGCCCAAAGGATGGAAATACATAGAGGTAAGCAATTATAAAAATTGAATAACTCTATAACTAACCAGTTTAATGTAAAGATTATTTGTAAAAGTTAACAAAGTATTTTTCTAATAAAATTTTACTAATATTTTGTGAACTAATAATTTAATATTCTATGTATAAAATTTTGTTAATCTGAATCCGAATGCTATATCACCCTTGTAATCGCTTTCTTCTTTTTACGTTTTTTCTTATTCAGTTATTATCTTTTGTCTCGTCTGAATCGTTCGAACTTAAATTATAGTAATTTCCAATGAGTCCGTTTGGTATAAATTTATACAAAAACTATTTACTGGGATTTAATCACGTGATTGGAGTTATGGTACTACGTTACTCAACAGAAATCCTATATAAACATTAACCGCTCAGAACATTACGGTAGAGTTCATTTCTTCATTTATATTTATATTTAAATATTTTACTTGCTGTTATTTCATGGCTCAATATCGAGCTCCTTACGAACGATCACCTTTTACTCCACCAGTGGTCCTCTTACCTATGGACAAACCTCGCGGGGTAGCTATACTTCTGGTACTCTCACACAACGAACAGCTTATATAGCTCCTAGTAGACCAGGTTATGGTATACCTTTAGGTGATATATCACCAATGGCAAAAATTGACAACTCTTTTCATTGGAGGGATATCACCGGGAGTAACTGATGATTGGAAAAAATTCTCAAGGTAGTGATCAATTATTTAATTTTTTGGTAGGCAAATGAATGCTATTATATATCGATACTTGTCAACAAGTCAAGTTGTCGATGATTTTCCAATCGAAGGGATGAAGATTTTAATGTACACTATATTATCAAATTGGATTCTTATAAACCTTGGAGCTTTAAACGAAGGCGTAAATATTTTGAAGTGCATTAAGAAAAAACTTTTTACGACCTAAAACGCATATTATTTTGGATGCTAAAAACTTTTTTCCCAGATAGCTTTCGAATTTATCTTAGTCTTGAAAGCTTTAATGCGCTTATTGGGCGCATGAACATCTTCAGGTGTGATTTTATCAAACACTTTAGCTGACAATTTATTATTATTTTTTTTTTATTTGATTATCTGGCGATTGCAAAGACTTGTGGTACATTAAATCTTGGAAACGAGTTAAACGAGTAAAAGACTGACCAATCCGGAGATTTAAAGGTTTTTGAATTTGCGGAATATGCTGATGCTGATAGTGTACTGCGTGCTTTGCGTGTACTTGGTGGTGAAGTTTCGGGTGACGATAAAAAAGTTAATAGTAAGCAATCACTTCTTGATAAATTATTTTTTGGTCCTAATTCTTCATCTAAATTATATATATTTATATATACACCATTTATCCACATATATTATAAGTTAAAGCCGATGAAAATATAAGAAAATATCTTGCTCAATATGAGGCTTCAAGGCCAGGAAGGTCTGTATTAAACTATAGAAATAATTTTTTTCTTTTTTTTTAGCTATCATAATTGATATCAATTATTATCTTTCAGCATGATACAGAGTTAGATAAAAATGCGTTGTTGAAGACATGACTAAGCCACAGGATAGAAAAGATCTGTAAATTTGCAGCATGAAAATAAACTAGCTCATCGAACATCACCAGCTACAGAAATAAAAACAGAACATGGAGAAAAGGATGATGACACATTTACCGGCTGATCTTCCTCTAGATCAAAAGGATCTTCGTTATTTACCGAGAAATAACATTCTTTCGAGAACGTGCTGCAGCAAGAGAACGAGAGCGTCAGAGAGAAGATGGAGAACGAGCAAATCGTAGAGCTAAAGCTGAAAAAGAAAGAGAACGTTCACATGGAAGGGAAAATAGAGAGAGAGCGTGAGAGAGAAAGAAAGCCGATAGAGATCGAGATCGGCAATATCATGTACATTATCATCAACCAGTAAATTTTGTTCCTGCAAGTGAATTAAGACGCGAATCTTATTAGACGATAAAGAATAGGAACAACGCAGACAAGCTAAAAGAAAAACTGAAACGGAAATGGCTTTTAAATCGGTATATTAAATTATTTAAAATTTGTTTTTGGATGTATATACTGATTTTAATAATAATTATCTTATATTAGAGAAAGAAGATGGCAACATAGAGAAGAAACAATGGCAACAATCGTGGACGTGAAGCAGAACGAGATTTAGATGCTAGAGAAAAACAAATTCGAGATCGGGAAATAATGGCGAGGAAGTTAGCGGAATGGGGCGATGACATTGAAGCTGATAGCGGTCAAGAAGAATATTACAAAGACAGGTACTAGGTATATATCACATTCATCTTGTAATCAATTTAACGGAGAAATTATGAATTTTAACTTTTTTTATAATTTATGTAGATCTCGTTGGTGGTCAGTTCAGAGCACGTGAATTGACTATAGATGAGGCAGATAGGTTGCGAGAACAGCAAGAAATTGAGCTTGAGCAACATCGATTACAGACACTCGAGGAAGAAAGAAAGCAGCGTGAAGAAGCTATGGAAGCAGAATTAAACAATAAAAAAGAAATTTTAACGCTTGCCACAAATGGTGTTTCACAAAATAATAGCGTTAAACCAAAACTAACTCTTAATCTTACATCAAAACGTCGTGCGGCATTAATGGCGCTAGCTGAAGATGAGGAATTTGACGATGAAGAAGGTATTAAGTCAAAACGTAAACGTCGAATTTTAGTTCCTTTGAAATATAGTGATAATGAGGACGATAAAAACAAAACCGAAGAAAGGAAAAAGAAAATTAGTTAAAGAATTAGTGGCGACTATACCAACGGATAAAGGAGGTAAGTTTCATATGTGGTTCATAATTTTTTTCCTTTTTTAAAGAAAATTTTTTATTAACTGTTAACATAAATAATTTCACAACAGAATATTCTTAGCAAAAAGTTACAGCCATTTGTAAGTAAAAGAATTGTTGAATATCTCGGCGTACAAGAATATGAATTAGTCTCTTTTGGTATTGATCATTTACGTAATAAAAAGTCAGCTGAAGACTTAACCAAAGGAATGATGATGGTATGTTGACTACTATTTGCACTAAATATCAAAGAGTAATTAATAAGCCAAATCATTGATTTTTTATATCCTTTGATTTATATACAGACTTTAGATGAGGAATCCGAGCTATTTGTAAAGAAAGAAATTATGGCGTATGTTAATTTTTGAAACGGAAAGTAAGACAAGAAAAATATAAAATGAAGATACAGCTTTTGAAAGGTTTCTAGGATGGGCTAGATAATTCGAAGTAATTCGAGGCAATGGCATATAACACGTAGCCAGAGTTTTTAATTTATATACTAGTATATATTGTCTATCGGATTCTTTTCATTAAAAATGTGATATTTAAAAAATTAAAAATTAAATATAATAAAAATTCATATATAATATAATTCTTTTTATCAATAGCAGATTGTTAAATAATTACTTAAGAGATCTATTTGTTTTAATTTTTATCCTATCATTTTAATGTTATCCCTATAAAAAAATATTGTCCAAACACTGTTCGGTTTTTTGTTCGGAAAATCGACCCCATTCCGAACATTTATTTGACATTTATTGGACATTTATCAAATATTGTATAATAGCGGAAAATTGACCTCATTCCGAATATTTATCGGACAAACATTTTTTATAGGGTATCATTGTTCAGTATCATCTCTTAATATCATACCCTAGTAAATTATATAAAGATATAATGCAAAAAATCTGAAGAACATTAATTACTTTGCAAGTTTCAGTTATCATCAATATCGTACTAATAAACTCAAATATTTACATTAACTAACTAGTAATCTGGTCAAAGTTCACTTTATTTATATTTTAATTAGAATCCGTTGTTATGTTTAGATAATTGAGATAATTTTCAATAAATTATCGATAAGTTAATTTTACTGTAAATAAACATAACTTCATTATTACTTTGGCGTGGTTATGCATTTTGCCGATATCTTTCTCATATGAAATTCAAAGCACGTGTCAAGACGTCATACTCGAATGATTTTAAATATAAAGTCGAAAAACATTTATCATTCGTTATGTTTTTATAAAAAGTATGGTAAGGTACATGATCTGATTGATCTGTAGTGCTCGATAACCGCAGTAATTATAGATATTGCTAATTTGAACGCACGATTGACTAAACTTACGTCTTGATTTTAGTCAATTTCAAGTCACAGTGTTAAGAGAATAATTTTTCTCTCTTTCTTTATCCTCATTGTGCGGTATATAGTAGATGATGATGGATTTACATATTGTACTAATTGTAGTATATATACTATATATTTATCAATTTTTATTATTAATACTATAAATATTTTATAAATTTTTTAAATACTGGTTATTAAATTCTTTTGGACAGTAATAATAAGGTAATAAGAATAAAATATAATTACTTTAATTTTTAATAGTAATAGAATAATTAGTAACTATTATTCATAATTATAAGTTAAATAGAAATACTAATTAAACTAACCTTTGTAAAACGTAATTCCTGAAAAAACTCCGTGAATATGATACATTTATGAGAAAATAATTTAAGTAACTTAGATAATTTTCATGTTTGAGGCTAATAAACTCCGTGAATATGATACATTTACGGAAATAACATGGAATAAAAAACCACGGAAAAACAGGAATAAGTAAATTATTATTATATATTTATATTACCCTGTATAAGTTTAAGTGTATTTTTAAGTGTATTGTAACGAATGTAACGACTGTAACGTGTTACGTGTAGCATGTCATGTCTCCGTAGTACGGATTGTTATCTTAAAATAGATCGGTTTAAACGGTGATCATGACAATTAAACAATAGGAATGTCTCGTGTTAAAATTGTTCCATTTTTTATGCTGTGTTACCTCGCTCCCATTGTTTTTACGCTAAATTAAGACATAAACTTTTATGAATATCCTTCCATTCCCTTGCAATACTGTTCTGCTTCATTAGAGTTGTCTCACAAATGGTAATGGTTTCATATCTCCAGGTACAATAGATGAGAAATAATATGTCAAAATGTTAGCAAATTGGCTTATTTATTGCGCCATTTTGCATCCAATGATCATAGAGTAATACACCAAAATGTCAAAATTTTCTGCCAGCAGTGATATCATAATTTTATCACCAAAATTATGATAAATTTTAATAAATTAAAAAATTTAATATTTTATTACTATATGTTTAAGTTCATGCTTATGCTTTAATTGCTTCCAAAATTTATTTGTACAAGGCAATGGACGTTTTACAACTCCTTTGATACCAAACACATGTGCAATACCAAATACTAGGTTTCAAATTACTTTCAAAGTTAATTTTTCCATTTAAATTACTAATTAACTACTAATTACTAACTATTAATGAACTAATTCAAATTTTTATAATATACTTTCACAGTTTTTATAGTTAAATTTAATGTATTATACTAATGAAAGCTTCTGTAAAAAAAATTCTTTGCAAATAAAAAAAATGAAGACCGTGTGTGTTACATATCACCACGTTTTTTTTACACATTAATAAAGCAACGCAGATCAGCTTTTGAAATACAAATTTGGTAGTATAGTAATAGAAATGCTTTTTTTTTGAAACACATTTGATTATAATTTTTTTTTTGAAACACGTTTGATAAAAAGAAAAGTTATTAATAGTTAATAAATAAATCAAGATTATAATGATGGGAAATATATATAAATGTTCTGTTGTTCTGCTGTAATCTTTCAAGTAAAAAATTTATCAATTATCATTATCATTTTTCAAGTCTATCTCCCAAATAAACCAAATAAAAAATTTATCAATTATCATTATCATTTTTCAAGTCTCTTAGTAAAAATGTTCAATTCAAAGATGTTGATCACCTTTGTCTGTTTATTATCCATCTGTTGCTTTTTTGCTTCATCTCAAAACGTACTATCTTCTTCTCAAAACATTTCATCATCTCAAACTACATCCCTCCAAGATAACAGTACATCAACCCAAGATATTTCATTTATTTATGAAGAACCAATTAATGGGTTAAAATTATATAATACTTACACCTTTAGTTTAGATGGTTCTTTGATGATATGGATGGCCTTTGAAGATGAAGATCATCCAGCATGCATGCTACCTTATTTACATCTACGATTTATGGATAAAGCAGGAAAAATAAAATATATGGATTTTAATTACACTCTTCCTGCAGAAGCAATTTGTCCCATTAATATAGATATTTTACCCTTAACTAATAATTATGCAATGATAATTTATGTTAAATCAAACAATGGTGTTAAGGGAAAGTATGGCATAATAATTAATTACAGCAATGAGTCTATAAAGTAAGTTTAAATGATGGAAATTCTCATTAATGAAAGTTAATAATAGTGATTTAATAATAATATTTTTTTTAGTGAAATATATTTAGGAAATGCTGATGGATTTGTTGGACGTAGCATTGTACCATACAAAGGGTTTATTAATATTGAAAAACCAGATAAAGAAGGAATAGCAATATGGCGTTGGTTTAGCCTTCCGTAAGTATTTTTATGAATAGTAACAATTAGTTTTTTTTTGAAAATATTTAATTGTTTAGTTGATTAACTTTTTCATCTTATTTTAGAGATATTATAACAGGAGAAGTGGTGAAACAAAAAAATGGTGAATTTCATGCACCAAATATATTATCATATACCTTAGTAGATAGTTTAAATTTTTTGTTAGTAGATGGAGGATTTGGTTTTATGTACATTTTAAAATATGATGAAACAAAAGGATCTGATCCAAATCTTCAATACTGGAGAGTATATGTATCTTTCCTAAGAGAAGATGCAGATTCCCCCACAATACCTTATCTGGTTTACCAAACCACTGAAAGATTAAATAATATAACAATTAATTCATGTACTACAACTTATAATGCCGAAGGATATGTATGTACTATGGCATTAAATAATACAGTTATGAATAAGAAGAATAATAAATCCCGGACTGAGATAAATTATTATCAGTTGAGATTTTTATCAACTGGGGCCTTAGAACAATTAAATAAAATTTCTAATCCAACAAATAATGCGGACATTGATTTGGAAATTTTATATTATGGGGGATTTCTTATGGAACATATTCACAGTACAATGGATTTTTATCTTTTAGATAATAATGGTAATTATATGCAATTACGGGAATCTTTTGGGCCAGAATTCTTTCATTTTAATATATTTCATATAAATAATACTATTGTTGGAATAAAGAATCAGAGTAACAATAAACTAGAGTTTTTATTAAAATCTATACCAAGATTAAATAATCGGAGTAAGCTTTTAATTTCTTTTCTTTCTTTACATTTCTATAAAAAAATTCTGAAAAAAACTCTGATAAATGATCATTTTTCTAGTTTTTATTCCAAAGAAACTCAAATACAGGGTCATTTTTCTGAAAAATTTTTTATAGGGCATATATATATGTATTTATTTAATATTTTCTTTTTAATATCTGTAGGTACTGAATATGGTTGTCCTGTAATTGAAAAACAAGGCCAGCTATTAATGAAGTTATTGATCCTTCGATTAAAGAAATAATAATCAAATATACCATTCCAGTAAAGTTATCTACTGCGAATGTTTCAATATTTCAACAAAGTGATGATCCCAGTAAACCAGATCTATTAAGACAAACATTTTCGGGGGATCATAAACTATGTACTGTTGGAAGTGACAACTATACAGTGCATATCCCAATTTTCGAAAGTACATTTAGTCAACCAAATTCCTCCTATTATGTGTTGGTTGATAATAATTTTGTCATCTCTCAAGAGAGAGATGAACCTTTAATGGGAATTATCAAAAAGAATATTTGGACGTTTTCAACAAGTAATATATACATATTTTTTAAAAAATTTTTAATGATCAAATAGAAAAATTAATATTCTGTTACTATATTTATTAGAACCACTTAATATGCTGGTACAACATTCAAATTCAGTTGCAGGATTACTTAGATTAAATGAAGAAGGAAGTTTAAAATTTCTTCAAATGAATCATTCAGTATTTTTTAAGAGTATGATTCAAGAATTTTCTAAAGTAATTCCTGTAAATGAACAGAGGATATCGACAAGTGGTATATGGAAATATGACACTACTTCTCCAAAAAAAATATTATTAACATTTAAAATAAATGAAGCTAAAGATCATGCAATTGAACCAAACTCTCAAATGATATTTGAAATTTTAAGAACCTTGATCAAACAAAAAAGGTTTACTGCACTTTCATCTAATGAATATACATCTTTAATTGATGAAAGTGCACCTTTTATCATGACCCGTAAGTGTGTTCATTAAATATTTTTGACATTTGTATTTGATTAATATTTTATTAAATTTTAATTCTATTACTTTACAGGAAATTATTTTGAAGAATATCATTCATTGATTATAATATTTATAGTAGGTTTAGTTGTATTAATAATATTATATATTTTGGCTCGTCTAAAAAATCCTGAGGCAAAAAACTCTGTAATATTTGATACCTGGTTTATAATACAAGATTTTGCTGTGGATTTAGCATTTGTATTATTAAAAGTTAATAATACACCACATTTAAAAATCCCAACGTAAGAAATTCATTAATGTTATTTTATTTATATTATTTTGAAGATTAATTTAATTGATTACTAATTTTCTTATTTATTATTATTTAGTATGATATTCTTTATTTTACCTATTGTAATAAATATTTTATTTGCCATAAATATTTTTGTATCTGAAATGGCAACAAATCCTTTGTTCTCTAAATGGATTAAAGAGTCTCTGGCATTATCATCAATGTGCACATTATTTTCAGCCATTGATATACAAATATTAAGCACTTTATCATCGGATTTATTTGGCCTTAAAATATTTTCGATTCCTTTGACTCAAAGATCAAAAAAAATAATGCTTTGGGGTAGTATCATAAACATCTTTATTGAAGATGTACCTCAAATCATTATCCAAGGGCTATATTACAATAGTGTGATAACATATGATCTTATTCCATCTCTTGCGATTGCATCTGGTGGATTAATTATATTAAATAAATTAATTTTAAGATCATATCATGCGTTGATAAGATGGATTCATCGACGTGATAAAATTAATGAATATAATAAAAATCGACGTTTATCCGCCGCATCCATAAGATCCATAAGGTCGAATTTTGGGAATTAAAACAGAGGAAAAGATCTTGCCTCTAATTAGACGAAAAAAATATAGGGATTGTACACAGCAAAAATCTCTTTCACTGGTTATTATTATTACAGGTTTTAAAAGTAGATTAAATCAGAAGTATGAAGTGTCAATTCATAGAATATGAATAATAATGATAGAATATGAGTAATAATGAACATTATTTTAGTAAATAGATTGTAAATATTTTAATTTTTTAAGTATTATTAATCTAATAAAATACTTTAGACTGCGCCATCTGCGCCATAAGAATTGTATTCTTTTTTTTTCGTTTCTCAAAAAAACACTTTTTTTTTGGAGCATCGTTTATTGGATGAATTAATTTCTCAGACTATCAATTTCTCAAATGTCAACAAAATGCTGTTGTAGCCTAACTCCGAATTTAATTTGCGATTTTCCATCTGGTAAATTTGAGCCATAAGTTCAAGATGTCTCCAAATTTGGTTTGGAATATGATCACATTTCGGAAATTGTGAAAATTTTAATTTGAAATTGAAATTCTAACTTGAACGTAATCGAGTGTGGGTTACAATATTTTAAAAATGCCCAGGTTATGTGTTGAATGAGTGTTATGTAAAAATCGTGATTAAATAATGACCGTTCATAATCATCGTTTATTTCTCCGTGACGAATAAATTAAAGTGGTGTGTCAATTCGAAAAGGATCATGATCATTAGATCCACATCAGGAAATTTTTTTAGAGGAAAAATATCGATAATCATCACTTCATCGATATTTATCACATTTTATTATACCGAATAAATCGATAATTAACACATATCGATAAATAACTAGGAATATATAATGATATTTAACTATAACATATTTTATCCGAAAAAATCATAAGGTTAATTTACCAATAATTTGTGATGTAATAATTATTGATAATAATCTCATAGTTAATATATTGATAATTTTTAATATTGATGATAATCTCATAGTTAATTTCTGATAATTTGTAATATTGATAATTTATTGATAATATTTAGTTGGATTTTATAATTAAAAAAAAAAAAATATTAAAAGTAAGTTACGAAAAGAGGTAACAGTTCTTTATTTAACAATCACGTGTATCATGTCATGTGATACAACATCTTCGTTGGTTAAACTACTAAGACGCGACACGATTTTAAACTTTTTTTTCAACTAAACATTTTTTACGCCCTTTCCCATTTCCCTTCTCCTCTCACCTGTTTCTCTTTCGCACCACTTTATCCTTTTTTTATACTTTTCCTTTTCTTTTCTTTCGTTTTCACCTTTTGTTTCATTTCATTTTTTTCCATTTTTTCATTTGGGCTCTTCTTTGTTTTTCCCTTCCCTTTTTTCGTTCCGTTTATTCCCCTCTCCCTCTTCCTCTCTTTCATTCTTCTCTTTCAACTTTCCCTTTAATTTAAACACTTTTCTTAAAAAATTATAAATTTTTTTTTGTTACGTTTTCATTTCAGCGGTTCCCTTGTAGAAATGTAAGTAAATTTTTTGGATTTTAAACTTATTGTTTTTCACATTTAGTACTAATCTTCCTTTATTTTTATAGATTTTATCTTCATTTCGGCTTTCGGACGTTTGGAAATTCACGTTTCTGTTTAGAAGGCCAAAAAATGTGTTGAAATTCGGCATTTTTTTCTTTGGAATTTTTCTTTTTTTTTTAGACGATTTTCTGGATTTATTTGGACGCGTGAGTCTCTTCGGCTTTTTGACTCAGGATTTTGGTAAGACACTAATTTTTTTATTAATTTTTTTTATTTTAACGAACTTTACTAAAAGTTCATTTCTTTTTCTTTTTTAGGTGGTACTTCGGCTTTTCAACAAGGGGATTTTGGTAAGACAATATGATGATATTTTTTCTTTCTTTATTTCTTTAACAAAAGTTAACATTCATTTTTTCTTCTTTCTTTAGACGTTTCTTTCAGTCTTGAAAAGGAGATTAGTGTGTTTAATTTTTTTCGACTTGGGATTTTGGTAGGCTAATTATTATTACTTTAAGTTATTCTTTAACGAAGTTTACTAACTAACCGTTCGTTACTTTTATTTTATAGATGGCCGTTCTTTGAAAGGTGAGTATCTTTTTTTTTTATTCATTTTTTATAAGAAATGTTATTCATTTCTTTTTTTTTGTAGGTTTGTTTCAGTTTGAAAACTGAGAAACGGTCCAAATGGTTAGTTTCGCAAAGTTTCATTTCATTGCGAAGCTTAAATTTCTTTTCTTTGAGAAACGTTATACTAACGTTTCTTCTTTTGTTCTTTGTAGGTACTCTTCGGATTCCTTCTGACCAGTTATATGATTAGATTTTGAAGTTTCATTTTAAAACTTCAAAACTTCAGTGTTTTTTTTTTAATATTTTTTAAGGAAACGTTACATGTCCTTATTTATTTTTGTAGATTCCCTTCGGCTTTCGATTTTGGGTTGGAATGCCAGGTAAGCTTTGAAGAAACTATCCTTTTTAGTTTTTCTAAAAACATCTTATTAACGTTTTTTATTCTTTTTTGTAGGTGGCTTCGATCTTGGATTGCTATTACAAATATGGTTGGTGAAGTTTCGTAATGATTTTCATTACGAAACTTTAAAATAATTTTTTTTTGCTTTTTAAAAGGAATGTTTCTAACGTTCTTTATTATTTTTTTTTAGGTTCTATCCAGTGTTGAGCTATGGATGTGAAATTGGTAAGTTTCGCAAATTTCAAAACTATAATTAATTTATTTCATTTTAATTAGAAACCGTTTATTAACGTTTCTTTTTTTAGTTCTGATGCTGAAAACACCAAAATGTAAGTTTCGCAACAGGGAAACTTTGATTTTTTATATTTAATATTTTAATAGAATCTTCACTTGTAGGTTAGATTTGATTAGATTAGTATATATTTAGTAAAGATTTAAAATGTATCATTTGTTATTGAATAATGCAATAAATAAAATAATCTAATTTAACAATCTAAGATTATTTAATCATGAATAAATACAATGGTATTTAACTATAAATAATATAACGCTATTTAACCTTTAGTGATAATTATCAATTTTTAAACTATAGAGATTTATATCGATGTTTTAACTGTATCGATGATTATTGTCAACTTAATCTGATTTATCCATATCGATACTACTCGACGAGTGCGATTATTATCGATATGTGTCACATGACCTTTCATCGATATATATCCCCTGAAAAAATTTCCTGATGCAGAAGATCCAAATCTTCAGTATTGGATCGGAAAGTATAATATGTATCCTTCTTGAGATACAACGCTTGCATTGACCTGTCAGACAACTGAAAAATTAAATAGAAACCTAAGTCGTCTAGTTAGTGTGACATCATTGTGACTAATTTTATATATTGTATATTGCATTTTATCGGATTACCAAATAATGTTAGTATTTTCGAGCCTTTTTTTATCGAAACTTGAATTATTAATTTATTTAGATTAATTTATCTTAACAAATATCACTATATAAATTTTCATACAATCTTGATTTTTAAAAGCCTTTCAGGCTTTCACGAACAATTTCAAGATCTTATCATAAGTATATTAATTAAAAAATCATGCAAAATTTAATTTTATCGTTTAGCATAAAGATTCTTTAATATTAACTCTCAAAACCATAGTAATTATTAGTTACGGTTATTAATTACGGTTAATTTTCTGAAGACTAAACCGTTGGTATAGTTACCATTAATTCTTTAACTAATTTTCCTTTTCCTTTCTTCGGTTTTGTTTTCATCCACTATATTCTAAAGGAAATTAAAATTCGACGTTTATGTTTTGATTAAATCCCTTCTTCATCGTCAAATTCCTCATCTTCAGCCGGGGCCATTAATGCCGCGCGACGTTTTGATGCAAGATTAAGAGTTAGTTTTGGTTTAACGCTATTATTTTGTGAAGCACCATTTGTGGCAAGCGTTAAAATTTCTTTTTCATTATTTATTCTGCTTCCATAGCTTCTTCACGCTGCTTTCTTTCTTTCTCAAGCGTCTGTAATCGATGTTGCTCAAGCTCAATTTCCCGCTGTTCACGCAATCTATCTGCCTCATCCATAGTAGCCAATTCACGTGCTCTGTTGCCACCAACGAGATCTACATAAATTATAAAAAAAGTTATCATAGAGTAAAAAACAGACAATAGCCTTTTCCTATTCGGTAATCTGTCGTACTCTCTGAAATATAGTGTTACAATTTTTTTTTATATTTTTTAAAATAAAGTGCCCCATAGACTCCCGGTTAAACGATCATCAAAACACTTGCAAAGTATACTCTTTTTTGGTTGTGATCAACACGAAAAGTTTGCCTGCGAATTTAATATCTTAGATTTTAGATTATAGATTTAGTAATAAGAATAACGAATCCTAAATCTAAGAGTATAACGCCCACCCTCCTTATAATCGATGTGCTATATATATTTTTTCTCCATTTTTTTTCATTTAAAAGAAAAAAGAAAAGAAAAATTACGGGTTACTCTACGTATTACGCACAATTTACTTACGCAAAAAATAAGTTTTTATATATTACTCAAAATAATCAATATTACTTTATTTTACACAATATAAATTTATCAATTTATTCAAATCAACAAATCAAAAAATTTTCTTCATTTTCTTTATATATAAAAAATTTTTAACGTGTTACTCAACATATTATACAATATTTACAAAAAATAAAATAAAAAAAAATTTTACGGTTTACTCAATATATACTGTATTATATAATATAAAATTTGTCAATTTATGTAAAAATAAATAAAACCATATTACCGCAATATAAAATTTATTTTTTTCATAAAAATTTTACGCGTTACTCAAAATTAATTTATTACAAAAAATATATTTCGTAAAAATTATTTTTTTTCATAAAAATTTTACACGTTAATCAATCAGTATATTTTCCAATATAAAATTTATTTCTTTATAAAAAAAAATTTAAATCAAAGAAAAAAAACTGATCTTTATTTGTTTCCTATCTCTTTTTTTACTCATTTACTCAATCAAATTTCATAATTTCATAATATAAATATGTAAATCGAATAAATTCATGTTAAAAAACCGGTATAAAAACAAAAAAATTTTTTTTTTTCTCTAATTTCCATAAAGGTATAAACAAATAATTACAAAAAGGCAGATGATGTGGCTATAATACATATATTACGATATAATATATATTATCTATATAAAAAAAGGAAAGATTCAGATGATGTGGCTTAAATAATTACAATATTACATAAATTACTCGTGCTTCTAAAAAAAAATTCCCAAAATAGGTTTTTTGCAGCGATCGGACTCCTTTATTTTATTATCGAAAAAAAAAAAATAGATCTTTAGTTAATCAAATCAAATAAAATTTTTTTTTAAAAAAAACGAATCTTTATTCTGGAGTGCAAGAATGATTATTAAAAAGAATCCACTTTTATCATATTTTTTTTAAAAACTTTAATAAAAGAATTCCTTATATTTTAATTAAAACATTTTTTTAATTCTTTTTTTTTAATTTTTTTAAATTGATTTATTATAAAATAAAAAAAAATTTCATGTAATTAAAATAAAAATAAAAAAAATTTGCCACAAATTCATACACTTTACATTTTTTTTTCTTCAAATTAAAACTCGATTATCACTTCATCTATTGAAAATTTGTATATAAATACTCTGATATTTTTTTTTACTTAAAAAAAAAACGTATATTTATATTTTTCAAATATACAGTTTTATTCTTAAAAAAAAAAAAATTTTACAATATCTTTTCTACTACCTATATCTCTAATGCCAGCAAAGTTGAGTACGATATACTACATTCACGATTCAACCCAGAAGTCAACAAAGGAATATAGCTTAAAAGAAATAACTGGAATATCCAGACTGAACAATGAAGACCCAACCAAAATCATATATCTAAAAATCAAAGCGTTTGTTCCATTGGATAAAGAAATTGATACACAAATCAAAGAATTTGAAAATGGTCAGGTAATTTACTTGAGAGGTAAATTTATTGCCTGCAATGAATGGTACACGGTATGTTATTGATTTTTTAGTTCAAAAAACAAAAATTAAAATAAAATAAAAATTAGTATCAAATCCCCATGTCCTATTTTCATAATATATTTATCTATTATTCACCAGTAAAAAAAAATAAACCTAAAATACTTACTAATGTATAAAATATATCAATCAATAAATCTACAATTAAATTTTTCGATTTTATTTTAATAATTTTATTACATTTATATCAAAATAACAATACTTTAATAATCAATATTCAATATATTACATAAATATACAGTAAGATTATTAATTATTTGTATAATTTTGATTATTAACAAACTGTTAGAAAATAAAAACTCATGTTTAATTGATTTGGACAATAAGAAATTTTATAAATTTACTTATTTTATTATTATTTTAATATAAATACAAATAATATAATTTATCAAACACTTCTAATATTTATTATGAATTATAACTAAATCAATATTTACTTTAATCAATCAATTATTTAAAATTATAACTGTTTGATTAATATTATGTGTTTCTCATTCTACTGATCACACAATTATATTAACCATGGGTACTGGATAAAAGATTACTCGCTAGTTAAAATTCATAGTTTCTCCGTTAAATTGATTACAAGATGAATGTGATATATACTTACCTGTCTTTGTGATATTCTTCTTGACCTCTATCAGCTTCAATGTCATCGTCCCATTCCGCTAACTTTTTCGCCATTATTTCCTGATCTCGAATTTTGTTTTTCTCTAACATCTAAATCTCGTTCTGCTTCACGTTCACGATTTGTTGCCATTGTTTCTTCTCTATGTTGCCATCGTCGGTCTTTCTCTCTAATATAAGATAATTATTATTAAAATCAGTATATATAATCCAAAAACAAAATTTAAATAATTTAATATACCCCTTTAAAAGCCGTTTCAGTTTTTCTTTTAGCTTGTCTGCGTTGTTCCTCTTCTTTATCGTCTAAAATATAAGATTCGCGTCTTAATTCTCTTGCAGGAATAAAATTTACTGGATGATGATAATGTCCATATTGCCGATCTCGATCTCTATCGGCTTTCTTTCTCTCTCACGTTCTCTCTCTATTTTCCCTTCCATGTGAACGTTCCCTTTCTTTTTCAGCTTCAGCTCTACGATTTGCTCGTTCTTCCTCTTCTCTCTGACGCTCTCGTTCTCTTGCTGCAGCACGCTCTCGAAAGAATGCTATTTCTCGGTAAATAACGAAGATCCTTTTGATCTGGAGGAAGATCAGCCGGTAAATCTGTGTCATCATCCTTTTCTTTATGTTATGTTTTTATTTCTGTAGCTGGTGATGTTCGATAAGCCAGTTTATTTTCATACTGCAAATTTATTGGAGGTTGTAGATTTCTTCTATCTTGTGGCTTAGTCATGTCTTCAACAACGTACGTGATAATAAGATATTTTTATCTAACTCTGTATCATGCTGAAAGACAATAATTGACATCAATTATGATAGCTAAAAAAAAAGAAAAAAATTATTTCTATAGTTTAATACAGACCACCGTTCCCGGCCTTGAAGCCTCATATTGAGCAATATATCATTTTCTTGTAGTTTCATCGGCTTTAACTTATAATACATGTGGATAAATGGTATTAATATATATATATAATTTAGATGAAGAATTAGGATCAAAAAGTAATTTATCAAGAAGTGATTGCTTACTATTAACTTTTTTATCATCATCCGAACCTTCACCGCCAAGTACATGCAAAGCGTAAAGAACGCAGTACACAGCATATTCCGCAAATCCAAAACCCTTTGGATTTCCGGATTGGTCTTTAACTCGTTGCCAAGATTTTAATGTACTACAAGTCTTTGCAATCGCCAGATAAGCAAATAAAAAAAAAAATAAAAATAAATTGTCAGCTAAAGTATTGATAAAATCACACCGGAATATGTTCATGCGCCCAATAAGCGCATTAAAGCATTCAAGACTAAGATAAATTCGAAAGCTATCTGGGAAAAAAAAATATTTAGCATCCAAAATAATATACAAAAGTTTTTTCTTGATCGCATCTCCAAATATTTACGCCTTCTTTTAAAGCTTCAAGGTTCATTTGATAATATAGTGTTCATTAAAATCTTCATCTCTTCGATTGGACATCATCGTCAATTTGTTGACAAGTATCGATATATAGCATTCATTTGCCCACCAAAAAATTAAATAATTGATCACTACCTTGAGAATTTTTCCATCCAATCATCATGATATCCACCAATGAAAAGAGTTGTCAATTTTTCTATTTCTGAATCTGGAGCTGCCATTGGTGATATACCACCCAAAGGTATACCATAACCTGGTCTAGGAGCCATATAAAGCTGTACATTGTGTGGGAATACCAGAAGTATAGCCACCCCGCGAGATTTGTCTATAGGTAAGAGGACCGCCTGGTGAGTAAATCGTAAGAAACTCGATATTGAGCTATGAATAACAGTAAGTAAAGTAAGTAAAATATATAGATGTAAATATAAATGATGAAATCAGAACGGGAACTCTAAGTTTATATAGGATTTCTGTTGAGTAACGTCAGTAGTACAAGTTTGATTAGTCCATATTATTAATAATCACGTGATTAAATGTGACTTTTCCCGTTTGAATTGCTAACTTTTTTTTTGTGTCCGTAGTCCGTACACAACATTGTTAGCACTGCATGAATAGAATAGTAATAAATAAAAATTGAAAATCAGAACTTTTAAATTCATCCGCAAATTTAATAATTTGATGTGCTTTCTCATCTGTTTTTTACAAAAAAAAAATAGGGAATAAAATAAATTTCATAATGAAATGTTTTCTTTGCATTTTAGCTTGATTTTTGATTTTTCTTTTTCTAACATTCATCGGAGTTTTTTTTTCAGAAAATTTTTTAGAGGGCAGCAGTGGGTTAGTCACTCCAAAATAGTAAAAATGATTATCGCATACTGCTGCTGATATAACGCAATAAGCGGTTACGTCGATTTTTATGGTTTTATCTGCTATTAAATTAGTCGGATTATAGTTATGTACAAGTACTGTTTATTTCTTCTCGTGATATTTGATTATCTTCTAAACTAATATATATGAAATTATCGGTCAAACAGAACCAGTGTGATCCTATAGGGAATATTTTATAAAAATATTTTAACATTATATACATATTAATATATTAATATTTTTTTTTTTAAAAAAAAATATATTTTTATTAGTTTTAAGTACACGTTATTATTATTCTATAAATAATAGAGTATCATTATACATGTTATTCATTATAACTTTTTATATGTATAAAAAATTTATTCGTTAATTTGCAGTATACAGTATTAAATTTTAATAAATAGACGCTAATTATCAAATGAAACGTATTAAAATGTACTGTTAATAATGTTTGTATAGTGATGTAAAAACAGCACGGTGATGAACCGAAAAGATATGATACATTTTTCCACTTTCATTATTTCCCTCTCTTGATATGAATAATTTAACTTTATTTCCTAATCGGCAATTAACAATTTGATCCGTTCATATATAGAATCGAAAAGCTTTAAATGTAGCAAGACACTATTTTATCAGCGTTATTGATGACAAATAAATGTTATGGACCGATCTAATCTCGGTTAGGTATATTTTTTCATATGATATGAAACAAGCTTAATCATTTTTTAGTTAAGGTCAGAAACACTACTATTGTCCACCTGATTCCGTCGGCAATCAGGCTTTTCTATAATTTTACATATTCGGGTGAAGATATTCTATCGGAATAGCTCTAAAGCACTTTTCACTATATATGTGTAATATCGTTAATTACCACTCTCTTATTCTTTATAACTATAATAAAGGAAATCCGTAGCATATGATGAATTTGAATAAGTTAAAGGGATATGATGATTTTTCTTTGTTCTATGATTACATTTAATTTTCATATTAAAGTATTTATAATATTTGAAATATTTAAGTGAAGATGCTACTGTATTAGGCCTATGTAACTGAATTCAACATAAAGAACGGTCGAAATTCCAATTTCATATCATATTCTTTAAAAAGTACATTATCGTTAACATTAACTGTTAAGTATTCATATGATATAATGGTATGATAGTTAATTCATTTTTTTTAATATTAAATCCAATATTAAAAAACATTTTAATTCGTGATCCGTGAGTCAACTGTAAAAAATTCATTTATGCAAATTTATGTCGATCTTTAGTAATTTTTTCAACACCATATTTTTTAATACATAATATTTATCCCAAAGTTTCAAATAATTTGTTTTTTACAATAATTTTTCACATAATTTTTTACGCCACGCCAGATTCCCATTTTTTGCAGATCGTTTGCAGTTATCACAAATTAAAGCTTTAATTAACGAATAATATTATCTTACCGCGTTTACCTAAATTGACATATTACTTGTTTCAACAGACGGAATATTTCTAGTTAAATGTCTCGATTTCTCAAATCTCAAGAGCCTGCCATAAAAATTTCCGCTAAGATATAATATTAAACCTAAGTTAATAAAAATTTTTTAAATACTAGCTTAAATTTATTAAATAATACTCTGACTATTTTCGAAAAAAACCGATTAATTTTATTGAGATCTATTATATTATTAAAATAATTAAATAAAATTAGACAAGAAAATCATTATTAATAAAATAATAAATTACTACAAATAAATTATTTTACCTGATTCGTTCGAAACTATAAATTAAACAATAACGTTAAAATAAAGATATAATTATTTTCTAGTTTTTTACTCTAGAAGAACTCAGACATGTGATCAATTTTCTAAAAAATATTTATAGGGCTGTGTAGGCGGTAGTTTAACTGAACTCTAGAGACTATAGTTCAACTGCCAATATAAATTCTTGCATCCTAGTTTATTTTATGTTTATATTTATTATATATTGGACTTTGATACCTAGTCATGATTATATGTTGGTTTCTGATGTACAGTAGAATTTGCTTTTAATTTTTTAATCAAAATTAACGTAAAAATCGCAAAATAAAAATAAAATTGCTTCCCAAACTTAATCATGATATCTTTGATGTGTTTAAAAAACAAAATGTTTATCATTACTAAGAAATGTTTCTTTTTCTATTTCTTTTAGTAAACTGTCTTATTTTACAATGCTTGTATAAATAAATAATGAAAAAAAATGCGTATTAAAAAAAATTTGAACTGAAATTACACAAACTACTTAAATTACACAATCATTATATATTTCACTTTTTTAAGCCATAGTATGAAAATTCTTAAAATAGTCAAGCTAAAGGCTTACATTAATTACAAATAAGGCTTATATATATATGGCTTATTAAATCTGGATCATCACATTAATTAGTTTTAATACTATTGTAATATTTGTGGCTTCGATCACAGTACTCAATACTTTTATGAGTTTTTCCGATACCCAACTTTTTTTAAGCCCCATAATGAACAATCAAGCTAAAAGGCTTACATTAATCACAAATAAGGCTTAGATACTATGTATGGCTTAGTTAAATCTTAATTATCATTTATCAGGATCATCACATGAATTAGTTTGATTTAATACGATATTGTATAGGGGCATTAATCTTATAAATACTTTTACAGATCTCTCAATTTTTCTACCTTTTTTTTTTATCACATTTTTATAATTTATGATAATGAGCTGCTCATCAAGATCACAACAAGAAGCGCACAAGTTGCTAGAGTTATTGTTAGAGATAACAGCAATGAACAAACTTTTATGGTATATACTGTATATTTTTTTAATTAATTATTTTTAACATCATTTTTAAAAATCTATTTATGGGAAGATAAATGGAGCTTTGTATCCTATATTTTCTCGGTGTGGAGAGTAATACTTTGAAGTCCGAGTTATTTATAGACAAGATGTATTATTCAAAAACATAATATATTTTTAAAAATGGATTAATGTAGTAGTATCAAACATTTAAATTGAATGTAACTAATTATTTCTTTTCTTAATAATATAAAGCCTACAATTTCCAGAACATTAAGAGAGACATTATTTACCCAGGGGAATACAAGAAAATTGGATGATGATGATTTTAAGTTATATAAGGATTCATCAGGATGTACTAGTTTAAGATGCGAAAAGGATCTGATATCTGTTCACCAAAACCAGATTGATAATGTTGTTGACTTTGAGACCTTTAATAAATTAAAAGAATTTAGCTCCAAAGTTCAGAATTTGGAGGAGGAAATTAATTCTAAATTAATAAAATTAAAACATAACATCACCACGAGCAGTACCATTACTACCACCACTAGCAGCAACAGCACAAGCAGTACCACCACCACTGACACCACTACTGCCAGCACTAGCAGCAACAGTACAAGCAGTACTAGTACCCCTATCACCACCAATAATAAATCAAAAAAAATTCACACAGACATTGATAAATTAACAAAAAATATTGTTGATCTTGTTGAAAATATCATGCCACCTACATTTCTGCAATCATATCATCTTCAATATAAATTACATAAAGTAGTCCTATATGAATATAATAAATATATTGATGAAGTGTATGTATCAGTTAATAATATATCCAATAGATTATCAACATCTGATAATTATTCTTATGTGAAAAATAAGGAAAGGAAAAGTAAAAATTTATTTCCCTCCTTCAAAAATAAATTAAATGATATATTATTAAAATATGCAGATAAATTTGGATTTGTTGATTATCAGGAGCAGTATCACCCAGAAGCATCGTCATCATCATCATCATCACAGCAAAACAAAGCTAATCTAATTATTTACTAAAGAATATTATGATGCAAAATTTATTTTTTAAGAATACAATAAAGGTCGTATAACCACATGATTTTATTGTATGAGTGTTAACAATGTCGGTAATCATTAGAAAAGTCGCGTAGTTGCGTTAACGGTACTAGATATCAGGTTTTTTTAAAAAAAATTCATCTTTTTTTAACGAAATAATCATTAACATTTCCTTTTTAGGTGGTCGGTCCCTCAAATCCCATAGACGTGGAGGTATAATGATCTATTTCTTTTTATATAATAAAATTAACTTCGCAAATTTTCTTTTTATTTTCTTTTTATTTTATTATTTATTAAAAACGGTTTTAAATTTTAACTTTTTTTTTATTTGTATTTTTTTTGTAGGTATAAATATTTAAACAAAAAAATTTTTTAATTGGATGAAGTCGTGCTTTATTATGCACGTGACTTATTGCGACAAATGTGCAATTACTATCTTGTCCAATCATTGTAAATTGAATAAAAAAAAATAGTTTCTTGAAAGAATTTTAGTTTAAATCAATACTAGCATCAATAGCAATTATCCAATTAATAAAAAGTTAGTTTCAGTTATGAAATATTTATAATAATTGCTTTTTTCATTATTCCACAAATTCAAACTTTCAACTTTTCTAAAATCTGAAGCTTCGCGTGATGTGGCGCAGTAAAATGTGGCAGTAAATTAGTTGGAAACACAACAATTTTTTTAATTTTTTTAAAAAATTTATAATGACTGATATTAAAACTAATTATTTGGTCATTATTCGTATTTTATTCAACATTTCAACCTAGTATTAGTAATATATTCGACACAAAACTTTATGTCAAATTATGGTGGTCTAAAGACGACCCAAATTTAGTTTCAGTATTTGTTAATTTAGCTTTAATATTAGTTACAAATCTGAATTTATTAAACACTTTAAATATCCACATGTTTATAGCATCTGCATCTATCTAATATAATCAAATTCGGTCCACAATTTCGCAATCACGTGATCTGTATCCCTAAAAGAACGCACGTTAAAAATCGTTTTTCATATAAAAATATCATCATCCGTTCCAAAAGATGCCGAAACCTAAAAATAAAAAGAAACATTAACAGTTAATGAATGTTTCTTAAAGATTATCTTCCCAAATTCATACCTCCCAAAGAAAAGTCTAGTCGAAATTTATAAAAAATTTCCGAGTCAAATTCGCCATCATATTTAAAGCAGAAAATCAAGTCCAAGTCCGACCTAAAAATGAAAAATATATCTACAAAATGGAAAAGGGGTGTTAAAAAAAAAACTTCAAAAAAAAGGTTCAACCTGAACCGTTTCTTAACTTATCATCCAAGATCCAGTAAGTTCAATGAAGCAAAAACCTACAAAAATGTTAAAACAAATTAATAAAAAAATTAAATAGTAATATAAAAAAAAAACTTTTAAAAAAGTTTCGAAGTGAAACGCTACAAAACCTACCAATACGTTCTAGGAAGTGCAAAAATTCTGTCGATAACTGTACAAAATAAAAGATAAAAAAAATTAATAAAATAAACTTATGAAGAAATTCCGCCGCCCTACAAAAGTAAGAGAGGAAAGGTTGGGGAAAACAAGAGAGGGAGAGGAAGGAGTGAAAGGGGAAGAGAGAAAGAAGAATGAGAAGAAAGGGTGAGAAGGGTAAGGTAGGAAGAGCGAGAGAGAAGGTTGAGAACGATGAAGGAAAAAAATAAAGAAAAAAGAAACCTTAGTACGTTTCTTCAAGTTAATGTCAAAAAAACCCTTCCCAATGGACTTACCAAGTCATTTCTAAGGCTACTAGTGTCCATGAAAAGAAAAGAAACGTTAAAAAATGTTTCTAATGGCAAAAGAAACCCCAAACAAATTGTTTCGCAACGTTCTTACCGAACTCAAGCCCCTAGATCGACACCAGGACCCAAAAAAAAAGAAACGTTAGTAAAAAGTTTCGAAGACTTCACTTCTATGATTTCTTATAGGTTCTCGGACAATTTAGAATTATTTCTAGATATCATGTCATCATGTTTATTATCATATTTTCATTAAAATTAAATAACATTATTAAGCATAACATTAACAAATTTCTATTTTAAAAAACTAAAAAGAATATAAAACTAAGATGATTAAATATTGTTTTTATTATCTTTAGTTTTTACTATACTCTAATTTTACAGCTAATAGAATCCATGCATAGTCCAAACCACATATATTTGTTAAACAAATAAAAAGAGTAGAATATAATAACTAATGTAAGCTCGTCCTACATAGTAGAACGATCGTTCTTCGTTAGAAATATGTTCAATATGTCCTATGAACTAGACGCGCAAATAGACAATATTAAAAGGCAAATGACCGACAAAGTAAAGTCTATATACAAAACCACCCCATATTATTCTTTACTGAAAAGTGTTGTATGCAAAATGCTGTCAGGTACAAAATGATATCTGTCAAACAAAAGACTATACACACAGTGAAATTCGATATAATGAAATCTCAATACTATCTCAATAAATATTAGTAATAAAGATCAGCTCAGTAGTTAACGCTGGTCGGCGGCAGAGTCGATCTTTTTTTAGTCAACACAGGGTGACAAAATTGTCATCTTTAGCGTAATTTTAAAAATTTTTATAGTTTTAGTTTTTAAATTTAATTAGAAAATTTTTCGTAGGAATTTTCTTCATTTTTTTTTATTAGATTTTTTTATAAAATAAAATTTTTTTGTAGAGAATTTTTTTTTTTAACAGGTAAAGCTTTCTTTGTTTTTTTTTTTGATAGAATTTTTTTTAGAAATTTTTTTAATAGATGGAAATATTTTTTGGTAGAGAAATTTCATTAGAGAATTTTTTTTTAATAGGGGATTTATATTTGATAGAGAATTTCGTTAACCAATTTTTCTTTAATAGGGAGATAAATAATCTTGCATAGAAATTTCATTGTAGAATTTTTTTTAATGGGTAAGGATCTTTTTGATTTTTTTTTAATAGGGTAAACGTTTTTTAATAGGGGATATTTTTTTGATAATTTTGTTGGTTGAAAAGTTTTTATAGGTAAATCTCTTTTTGATGGAGAATTGCGTTTAGAAGTCTTTTCATGGAAAATTTTTATTGAAAAAAATTTTTTTTAATAAGGGTATTGAGAATTTTGGCTTGAAATATTACAATTTTAATAACTTTATAAATTAATTATTTTTTTTTTAAATAAATGGTTTGCTAGTAAAAAAATTTGCTTAATTTACTATCAGATATTTCATGTTTCATGCGATTGCTATGCTATTTAGTCAGTCACGGGATATATTTTTTTCTTTTTTTTATATATATTTATTATTAGTTTATTTTTAGTTATATTACATAGAGATATTTTAAGTTATTTAATGATTAGATAAAATCGGGAAAGTGGCTGAATTAAAGGTGGCTTAACAAATACGACATTTGGCCGGGTGGCAAATCTGTTCGATAGTCAGATTCGCACCGAATTTTTAACAATATATAAAAGACCGATGGTGGAGGAGTAGTTTGTGCAGTTCGTGTAGGTTTTATTTTCAAAAGATAGATATACGGATATTACAGAGGGCAGTAATATCGTATTTTATTCAAGTGTTAATAAACCCGCCTGTTGTTTACGATTTATTACAATTCGCTTGTTTCTTTAAAGTGTTTACTACCTTTTATTGACCTTTTGTTACATATCGTTTTATTACTTATACACAATTTAAGTCCGATTATAAACAGATTAATATATACACGTTTCAATTACTTTATCATTTATTTATTAATTGCTTATTGTTTACACGTACATTAACCGATTTGCTTTAACACCTGATATCTAACATCATAATACCCTATTGTTTATTAACCGATCCTTATATTTCTTTTCTGTTACTACCTGACCGAACGTCAAAAACCGGTGACAACACTATCATGGATTTTTTATCTTAAGTATTTTTTTAATTTTTATTTTTTTGATCTATATCAGCAGCATACTTTTTAAATTTTATCAATTTTATCTTTATAACTTATTTTCTTAAATTAATTATTAGTTTTTAGCTTTAGTATTTTTATGGTAATATTTCTTTAATTTCAAGATTTTTAATAATTTCAGATTTTTAAAATTTATTTTATGGAATTTATCCTATTTTATTTTTAATAATTTTCTTTGGTTTGATATTTCTGATTTATTTTTTAACTTTAATTTTAGATTTTTTTTAGAATTTTAAAAAAATAATATATAGTATTGGATTATTGGTTAGCTAAAAAGCAGGGGGTATGTTATTTAAAATTTTTGAAAATACCCTTGAAATAAGCAATTTTTTGATAATTAACTACCGTAATAAACTAACTTTATATATAATATACTGTATATACACAGTGAAATTCAATATAATGGAACCATCCGTTCCATTAGTAAAATTTATCAAAAATCCGTTATATCAAGAATTCCGTTATATCGATTATCGAGGGTAAATTAATTATTCGTTATGATAATCTGCTTCAGACCTCAATTCCGATATATCGAGGTTTTACTTATGATCCGTTATATCGGGATTCCGGTATATCGAATTTCACTGTATATACTGTATATATATTTATTAATTTTAATAATCTTATTAATATTATAATAATTTCCAAAAAATTCTTGTATATGTAAGGTATTAAAATATTTAGCCAATATAAAAAGATTTTTATAATGTAGGAATTTTATAATACTTAATTTTGAGATTAATTTGCATATTTTTTGGCATTATTTTGAAATACCATAATTGATTTTTATTTAAATTAATATAAATTAATTTATTGTAATTATCTTGCCATCTAATAATGTAATTTTAATAAACTTAAATTTTAAGTTTTATAAATAAAGCTAATTAAGATTTACAATTTAAAAAAAAAATTGTTTAAGCAGTAACTAAAAAAATTGTATTAGAAATATTTGAGATCTTATTTTTTTAATACTTAAGATTTTATAATATATTTTATTTATATTTTAATTGAAAAAAATATTTTGAAATTA